GACAAACACACACAGACGCACACATGCACCCATGGACAAACACACACAGACGCACACATGCACCCATAGACAAACACACACATGCACCCATGGACAAACACACACAGACATACACACACACCTACCCACACACGCGCACGCACACACGCACCCATGCACACATGCACACATGCACGCGTGTACGCACCCACCCACGGACGCACGCACGCACCCCCCTTCTTCCCACACACACCCATGCACGCACACACGCACACACACACACACACGGACGCACGCACGCACCCCCCTTCCCACACACACCCATGCACGCACACACGCACACCTACACACCCACGGACGCACGCACGCACCCCCCTTCCCACACACACACACACACGCACACACACACACATTTAAATTTTAGCATCGACTTGTCAAATATGTCGACGAAAGGAAAATTACTGCGCGGCTTGTGATATGGTGCGACACCTAAACAATGGAATCAAATCATGTTCTGGATAGAAGAAAAAGGAGAAGACCTCTTTGATAAGACATTAATGTCTTATAAGCATTGACCGTTGTCAAATAGTCGACGAAAGAATATACGCGGCTTGTGATTTGTGGCCGCACTTCAGAATCACTTCTGATAGAAGAAAAGGGAGACCTCTTTTGATTAAGACATTAAATGTCTATAGCATTGACCGTTGTCAAAATGTCGACGACAGGAAATACCGTGCGGCTTGTGATATTGTGGCGACCTTCAAATCGTGTCCTTGATGGGGGGAAAAAGGAAGCCCCCCTTTAATTAAAACATTATTTTTCTAGGTTCTCATTCCAAATACTCATGTTTTTCCCGCTACTTCGCCGCGCCGCGACTTACCATCAAGTGTTGGCGACCTTGACCCACGCGTGGGCACCTCAACAGTGTAGCGGCGCGTGGGCCTGACGACAGCTCGGGCACGTCGGACGCGCAGCGACGGCGACGAGCAGAGAAGTTCACGGTGAACATCCGGCCGCTGGGACACAGCACCGATACGCGGCGTCGTGACGAGTCGAGCCACCGTCGAAGATGTCGCTCTCCGCCGTGGGTGTACGTGTAGGTGTGTGGGACGTGGGAGTGAGTGGAGCGTGCGCCCATGACGCTAGTGCTGTGTAGGTGGGGTGTGTAGTGCGATGTGTGGTGGTGTGTGGGAAGGGGGGTGCGCATGCGCTGCGTACGATGGTGTGTAGGTGTGATCGTGTTGTGCGTGCATGGAGGTGCTGTGTGGGAAGGGGGGGTGCGTGCGTGCGTCGTGGGTGTGTAGGTAGTGCGCGCTTAAGGCGAGATTAGTGCTGTGCATGGGTGTGTGTGAGAAGGGGAATGCGTGGTGCGTCCGTGGGTGGCGTGCGTGCACGCGTGCCATAGATGTGCATGTGTGCAATGGGTGGCGTGGTGTGCGTGGCGTGTGTGGGTAGAGTGTGTGTGTATGTCTGATGTGTGTTTGATCTATGGTGTGAATGTGTGTGTTTGTTCATGGGTGCATGTGTGCGTCGTGTGTGTGGTTTGGTCCATGGTCATGTGTGCGATCTGTGCATGTGTTTGTCCGATGAGTGCATTGTGGGGCGTCTTGTGTGTGTTTGGCTGCATGGAGTGCAATTGTGATGCCGTCTGTGTGTGTTTGATTCATGGGGTGATGTGGCGTCTGTGTGTGTTTGTCCATGGTGCATGGTGTGCGTCTGTTGTGTGTTTGTCCTGGGTGCATGTGTGGGTCTGTGTGTGTTTGTCATGGGTGCATGTGTGCGTCTGTGTGTGTTTGTCCAGGAGGTGCATGATGTGGTCTGGGTGTGTTTGTCCCAGGGTGCATGTGTAGGTTCTGTGTGTGTTTGTCCATGGGTGCATGTGTGCGTCTGTGTGTGATTTGTCCATGGGTGCATGTGTGCGTTTGTGTGTGTTATGTCCATGGGTGCATGTGTGAGTCTGTGTGTGTATTGTCATGGGTGATGTGTGCGTCTGTGGGTGTTTGTTGATTTTCTTTCATTAGAGGGATAGATGTCGTGATATCACTCGTTTCATTTTCATTTTTTCGATCTTTCCTGGCAATAAGACAGGGGATTTCAACTCACAATTGTCAGATGCCCTGGTATGATCAACGTTAATGATAGAAACTTGTTTAAATAACATGAGAGAGAGCATGGTAATTTACAAATGTACTGTTTTGTTTAGGAGCGAACGAATTTTACAGCGCTGAACCTGAATAAATGAAGGAGTAGCTTACATGTGACAGATGAGAAAGTCATGATTGTTTTCCGTCGTCGCGATCAATTTCAGACCGTTGGTTCATCCGATGAGACTGATGAGAAAGAAGTCATGATTGTTGAAGCAACGATGAGCAGGATCTCAGTCTTTATCGGACCCATTCAGTGTGCAACACACACACAGCACACACACACACACACACACACAACACGTCGCACGCACGCACGCACGCACGCACGCTACGCACACAAACACACAAATATATCAATATATTAATTAATTATTATATTAATTGCTTTACGCATCAATTTATAGAAGCAAGTTATCCGACTATTCGTGCGCAGCTAAATCGCATCTGATTTGGCGGTTGGAATATGTTCTTTTGCATTGTTTATTCTCTGAAGTTTTTTCAACCCATATCAATTGGATTGTCTGTTCATCAGCATGAAA